CTGACATGCAAAGTGGGGCTCTGGGATTTTCAGCTGCAGGTTAGTAGCTTCCTTTGACATAATGTCCTTGCCTAACATTGTAGGTGTCTTCAACATGGCTTTGCAGATTTAAAGATCAGATTCCAATTGGTGGGGAATGCGCTAACTGGGTGAGAGTCAATAGGGATGACAGGGCTTCCCAGTCTCTCCCCTTTCCAGTGCCTGTGCATGGCTTCAACCAAAGAAAGGCTGGCCTTGAAGGCAAACTCCTCTCCCTGGCAGACACTGAGGGGGTTCTCAGCTCCCCAGAGCTGTACTCTGGTCACTGCAGCAGCTCCCCATTCGAGCCAGTGACTTCAGCGAGACCCAGAGAAGTGCACAGCTAACTTCTCTCTCCTTGGAAGGGGGACTATGCTGAGCAGCCCTAAATCTCCTTGCACGAATAACAGTCCAGCATCCCATCTGGCTCTCTGGCTGCTATTTAGCAGTGTTGTTCCCAATCCAGGGGACAGTTGGGTGTTCCACACATGCCCCCTCATAGCCAAGACCCAGCTTATTTGGAAAAGTGACTAGTAAGACCCAAACTGAACAGAGCTACATAACGTTAGTCTTAGGCCTGAACACTGGCCCAAATTTCACCTTAAGGAGATGATGTATTTCGGATGCACTGGATTCTGACATTAGTCTATCAACACATTTGCCATTGTGAGCAATCATCAAGTAATCAAACCAGCCATATTCATCATCCTTCCATTTGTTGATTCCTTGGTCCCATTAGACCCTGCTGCCCCAGAAGTTTCCATTCAGATGGACCAGACCTGCAAGGCACATCGGAACAGACTGAATCCCTCTTGACCCAATAAATGCATGCAGTCCAATCACTTCCTTCGGCCCAGTTCCTTGTTTGAGCTCCACCGAGGGGTCATTCCAAACTTTCACAGCATACTTGGCAGGCAAGAATGAGACAATCTTGGCAAACCTGGGGTTACTGACTGAAGAACTGAACAGTACGGTCACAGATGTGGGCAACCCCAGAGTCAATGCTGATGCAGCTCCCTCCTTGACCATACTTCCTCGTGTCAGACACCACAGAGTGGTTATCCCAAGCTGGGACAGTCTGGCTGCACACACTGGACCTGATATACCTCTACCCATGACATCAACCATAGGGCTGGGTCAAGTCATCGTAGACCCCTCCAGCAAGTCTGAAGACTTCTGCTGGATTCTTCAGTGGAAAAAAAAACAGCGATATGACAGTAGTAGTGGTGAAAGATACTTAAGAGAAACACTTGATGGCAAAACAAAAATGAAGAAGAACATGGAGTTATGTGCTGCCAATGGTGTCACGTAAGAGCTAAATCATTCATTCTGAGCCTCCCACACTCATGCAAGAGAACATACTTCAAAGGAAAAGATTTCCAGAGGCCACAAACCTTGTACTGTCTGTATGTGCAGGCCCTTTCGGCTGACAGCTGGACACATGACTGCGGCTGGTGTGATAGATGAGGACTGGAGTCTCTTTAATAGTATCTCACAGTGGTTTCCGTAAGTTAATGGAGATTGCACAACACTGCTACCAACTGCCATGCCGGATATATTTTGCAACCAAGGCTGCTGTGCCACATCTGTAGATGATATGCCAGAGCCTTCTGAGGAGGCCTTGAGGAAGTCTGAAATTAAAAAAAAAAAAACCCGAACAAACCTCTTTGAATAGCAGCTTGTTGGACAAGTGGCTTTGGATGATGTGAGCAAGCACCAGCAGACGTCTGATGTGAAGCAACATAGCAGGTTTGATTATTGCATCTCCACCAGAATGGCTGGAGGAAGGTCCACTTTGCCTACAAGCCCAAGGGTCCTGGGATACAACAGTCCCATACCCGGTGACATGAGCTACGGTGAGAGAACAAGCCCATGAGGATCATGTGATGGGGACAACAGAGATGCAAGTAATGGCTTGCATTAAGGAAGCCTCAGTGTTAACTGTGCAACACACTGACCAAATATGTCTCTGAATCCCTTTGTGGCTGATCTTCAGCTGGCTAATGAACTGAACCCTTTAGCTCAAGTGGCTGGGGTCTGTGCTAGAGGGTACAGGTTCTGTCTCTACTGAGGTCCCAGCCAGGTGTTATAACATTAGTGAAAACCCAGGCCAGTGCATCAAGGTGCTGAGTTCCAGTCTACCTCCTTCTCCATCTGTCTTCTTAATGAGGTAGCAAAAACAGGAAAGGAAGGCTAAATAAAATGGGTTGAACTGGTTAGTGACGTGTGTTGGCAAAAAAAAACAACCCAAGATGAAGTGGGATCTGCTTAACACCTTTGAAGGTCACAAAATATTTTCCTAAACAAATGGTCCTAACAAAGTTGATTGATTTCATCTCCATGCCGTCCAATAAGCAGAGACTCAGAGATGGTAGATTCATTTTAGAAACCCATAATGGTGACCCAATGGAACACAGAGACTTTCAGTTTGTACCGAGCATCTCTTATTAAAGCTCTAGACTCCTGAACAGTTTTCAAATACCTGCACAATCACAAATCGAAGTGGATATGATGCCAACAGGACCCCTAAATAAGACTCTGCAGGTCACAATAAACACACTCCCTCTGAAGAAGCTTGGGCCTCGCAACATGCCCTGAAAGTCAGTAGACAGCTCTGTCCGATCTAGGCACATAGGGAGAAAGATCACCCCAGAACATCTTACCCCCCGCACCAGGTATACAAATTGAGGGATCATTGGACTGAGTATTCCAGCTGATCTCAACTGCCAAGTCAGGACACAAGGAGAGGGGCAGCCTCTAAGATACCCAGAACCCAAACTACTAAGGACCCTATAGGAAAACAATGCAGTCTCTGGAACAAAGGTGTATGTGAAACACACTACTAAGTAAACAGGCAGCTGAATTCTGCATCAGTTGAAGGTTCTAAGTATCTTGTCTCTCCCCTCACCAGTATGCAGAGACCAAAGCAAGATCATGTAGTTCCAAGATTTACAGCAATTAGTAAAAGGATCATAAGACCTTGGAAAACCATTGACAAAGACACTCCAATGGAGTCTCAGCTTCCAGGGTGGATCTATAAGGCTCAGAGCTGACCTCATTCTTCAAGAACAGGAGGAAGCTGGAGATACTTGGAACATAAGGGAAACAGAGGGCCAAGTTCAAAATTGCTCAGGGTCAGATTTTCAAGTGCTCAGCACTCAAAATTGGGGCTAGAGTTTCAAAAACCCTGAGCGCTTTTGAAAATCTGGACCTGCTTGTGGGTGCTGAGCCATGTTGAAAACTCTGTCCACAGAAAGCGTTCACTGTGCTAAGCTCCAGGGCAGCACCATCCAAAAGGCAGAGGCAAGTTATAATGCATAGCAGTTACGTTGCCCTACAGGCACCCAAATAGCATGACCTCAGGAACAATGTTCCCTCTAATTTTTTACACCCATGTGTGGAATGAATTTTGTTATGTGCACCAATATGGAGGTGATGTGTGGCGGGGGTGGGGCCGAGAGGTTCGGAGTATGGGAGGGGGCTCAGGGCTGGGGCAGAGGGTTAGGGTGCGGGGGAGGGGTGTGAGGGCTCCAGCTGGGGGTGTGGGCTCTGGAGTGGGGCCAGGGATAAGGGGTTTGGGGTGCAGGAGGGGGCTCAGGTCCAGGGCACAGGGTTGGGGTGCAGGGGGGTGAGGGGTCTGGCTGGGGGTACAGGCTTTGGGGTGGGGCAGGGGATAAGGGGTTTGGGGTGTGGGAGGGGGCTCAGGTCTAGGGCAGAGGGCTGGGGTGTGGCGGGGTGAGAGCTCCGGCTGGGGTACAGGCTCTGGGGTGGGGCTGGGGATGAGGGGTTTGGGGTGCAGCTGCGACAGGGAAAGAGGACTCCCCCCAGGCCTCTCCCTGGCCACAGCAGCTCCGAGGCCTGGGCTGGGGGCAGGGTGTCTCTCCCCACTGCGTACCTACACAGCCCTTGATAGCCTGCTGCGTGGCCATGCAGCTTAGAGGGAACTTAGCTCAGGAATCAAATGCCAGGCCCTAATTATTCACCACTGCTTTGGTGGTGAGTGGTATGTTTTTAAAAAATGAACGTAGTGGTGACTAAAAGTGCTAGAGCAACAGCCCTGGAAACCAATGTCCCCTATCCACAGAGCACATACAACATAATATACCGCATAAGCAGGACCAACACCCTGGTTTGCAAAAACACTAGTACTAATGGAAACCACCACTAAGGGAGACAGGGAGCTCAGACGTCACAGCTCATCCTGCCTGTGGCCCCTCTGCTGAAATTGTCAACAAGGGAGTAAGTCAGTGCCAAAATGTGATGTTGAGCCCTGCGCTCTAGGAAATGCACTGAGACAGATTCATTTCCCACCAGGGCACTGGCCATGGGTGGACCTACCCTTTGGGGAGGCTAGCCCCGGCCCTGTCCCTTCTGCCCGAGGCCCCCAGGGCCAGAGCCCCGAGCCTCCTGTGTCTAGAGGAGCCCTGGGCCGGCCTGAGCTGCTCCAGCCAAGACCCCGAGCTGCCCCGTGGGAAAAGCAAAAGCTCTTTCCAAAGAACCTGAGCTCTTTATATACCCCATGCAGGTTCCAGGGCAGCTGAGAAGGTGGTATGTGCTACTCAGCTTCCTGGGTTCATCAGTAATCTCTCTAGAGTCCAGGGAACCTGCATGACGCACAATAAAAACTTCCTCTGGCGGAAGCCCAGCCTGTGCAAACCTCCAAAACCTGCTACCCGGCATCCAGTGTCGGCAGGAGCTCCAGGGGAGGCTTAGCCTCCACTGGCCTATTATGCCCACCGCTTATGCACCAGGGCTACTAAACAGTTGCAAATGACTTTTAAACACTACTGGCCTGGGGTGGAAATGGAACCAGTGGCTTATGGGTGATCATATTCTGAACTCCCTGAGCTATTCAGTCCCCTTCAATGTAAATTTTACTATTCCCATATAGAGAGATTTCCTAGCACTCAGCTGGCGGCTTCCCCACATGGGAAATAATGGTGATAAGCAATTCTGACACTTCCAGAACTGTTCTCTAGTACCTGAATCTGGTGGGTGTTGGTAGACCATCGCTGATGATGATATTGTCACAGTTCTTCTCTATGGCTACGCATGTGACTCCGAAGTCCGAACCCTGATGCACAGAGTCGGCCGCACTCAGCGCATGGGAAGTCTGTATTTATGATGTTTGATGATGCAGCTCTGAGGCGCCTTTCACATGCCGCCCGTAGATGATTTTGTCAATCCCGCTCAAACCTGTTACATGCTGATCTTGTCAGAGACCGCCAGCGAGTCCTGTTCTGGTGGGCATGGGATGGCTTAACGCCATGACAGGTGCTAGCTAGCACAGCTTCTTCTCGCTCTGCCACTGCAGCATCAGTGTTTCTCCTGGTGACCCAAGAATGTTAAAGGATCCTTCAAAAACAATAAAATAGGGGTGAATCTTAGTGTTCTAAAGTGCTTGTTAGGCATTATGTAAATAATCCCTTTTCCCTAGCTCTGCCAGTGCACCTCAGTCCTGCTCTGCAGCCCCCCTCCTGTTCCAGGCCTTGCCTCCACTCTCAATCCTGACCTTCTGCAGTATCTGCTATTCCAACCTTAGTCCTCTTCTGAACAGATGGCAAATCATGCTGAATTATACCGAGCTGCATGGCAGTCACTGAACAAGCATACATCAAGAGTATTACCCACATCCGTCTCGCTGCCATGTACCTGGGCATCTTGCTTATTTTGGAAGAGATTCATAAATACCATGTTGGGGTAACTGCTGGTCCCTGTTTAATGGGGGGCTCTCACTGCTTGCCGGGCATTAAAATAGTCCTGAAATATAGCCGGGGGCTGCTGACCCAACCTCACAAGGGCATTATGCAAACAGCACCGAGCAATGAAGCAATCTCAGTGTGGTAATGGGGGCAACCCCACATTAGCTTATGGGAGAGGTTTCCTTGGAGCAGAATGTTAATATGTTCCTTAAATCCTGTGCTTTGAAGGCTCTTTTACTCGGCAGTCAGCAATAAGGTGGAGGGGAGACTTTAGCAACCAGGGAGCTAGCAAAAGCAGCTGTTGCTACAGTTGCCAAGGAACACAGTATCCTCTGACAGTCTCAAATGACTTCCTAGACCTACCTGATTGCTGGATTATCTGCTTTTCATGAACTGCCACATCAGCAGCCGCCCTGCAATCCCTGCACTGCTCACTTGACACAGTCTGGTTTATGCTTTGCAACTGGCAAAGTCAAGACCACAGTAATAGAGGTAAAGGATCAATCCCCTGTTGCAACGATTTTCCTTGCGGACATTGATTTTGAGCGGTGGAATTTGAGAACTTTTTTCTTTTCTTTTTTTCCATGTAGACTGTCAGGTCTGGGTTCATGCAGAATCAAGCAGCAAGTTAGGGAATAATTTTATTTTAGTCTCCTGTTGTAGTTTCTGTAGCTGTCCCTCAATGCCTGGCCCTAGGGTACCCCTGCCCATCACTCATCAGTACAGCTGGAAACCTGCAAAGCCTGGGCCTATTGGGACAGCACCCCAAATATTTAGCTGACTAACTTTAGCTTTTCACTCAGTAGTCAAACTACTTCCAGACACTAAGGTCAGGTTCCCAACCTGCCCTGTTCTGTAGTTCTGTCTGGCCTCATTGCTCCCAGAATTCCTTGTTTTGTAGTCTTCACTATAAACTGATTCCTCCTTAACTAATCACACACACATATATGGGCAGAGCTTTTTCTAGTCATAGTTCTTCAGGGAATGGCTTATCCTGTACCAAATCAAATACGTTATCATCTTCACCTGCTGCTGTGAAGCTCAGTCTATACGCTTGGCTTCATCTCTCTCATTTAAATCTCAGTCTCTATATATCAATCACTAACCAACCAAGTGCCACATTTTTGGAAGCGGCCTCTAACGTCCGGTTTCTGTGCTTTTCGGTGCCTAGTGTTAGACAGCTCGGTATCTCAAGCTGATGTTAGAAAGTGAGGCACCCAAAATTCGAAGCTACTTTTGCAAATGTAGCCAAAATTTAATTTTCACAAGTGCTCCCCCCTTGATTTTGGGAACCCAGTTTCAAACATCAAAGCACCTGAACTGACTGTCTGTGAATGTGCAGCACCTCTGAAAAATGAGACCATTTCTCTTGGCGTCCACATATGGACATAGATCACTAGCTTAAGGCAGACATGCTTGAAAACGTTAGCATAACTAACTTACCATAGGCTAGAGTCAGGTTTAGAACGCAAGTTCCTTTAGCCACAAGACCATCCTTCCTCAGTATGACTGTGCTAATTCCTATCCCACCAACAGCACAATCAACGCAGTGTCCAATACACTATTCAGTCCATAATAACACAGGAATCTAGTATTATTATTTATTTTACAGTTGTCCAAAGTGTGCTACCTGCCTCCCAGTGCAGACAAGAAGACACAGTGCCTCCTGCAAAGAGCATACAGTCTTAAAGTGAATATTTGTAAAGTCTAGCGCAGGCATTAGTGTTTGCAGGACGGGGGCCTGAGCATGCATTCACAAACATGGTGACAATTTAAAAATAAAATAGAACAACAATAGAGAACACATTGGTCTGGAGTTTTTCCTCACACATGCAAAATCCATTTTACGGCTTGGATGCGGTAACACTGAAACAGCCCTTTGATGACATGCAAGCCAGGACTTGGAGGTGCTGGTTTTTGCTAGCAGGAAAGGGAGACTTTGCTGTCTACCTTAGTTAATGAAGAATTCATTTTACGTATACATCCTTATGGTATTGCCAGGAGGCTATATTTCACAGCTGTGACACTGTACCTATTAAAGAAGGCAGCACTATCTAGTGGTCACCACACAGGCCTGAAAGCCAGGTCTCCTGGGTTCTATTACTGGTAATCTCTGCCATGGAGTCCTCGTGTGACTTTGGGAGAGTCGTGCAGGAAGCGCTCTGTGCCTCGGTTTCCCTGTCTGTAAAACCACGATAATAACTCCTGCCTATCTCAGAGCTGCATTGTGAGGCTTAATTAACATTTGCAAAACACTTTGGGATCCTTGGACAATAGATGCTGTGAGGTACAAATTGTCAAGGCTAAACATAGCATTTTCAGAAAGCCAGGGGAAACCCCCAAATGGTGTGTATAGCATTCCATCGTTCACACAACACGATCATCACGCCACAGGTTGGTCTGTCTAGCTATCCACCCTCGGCCCCGCAACAATTGCTCTTTTCCCTCCTCTTCTTCCTCCCTAGGCAGTAGATGGGGCAAGACTAATAATTCAGATGACAGAACTAAGCTGATCCTGATTAGAAAAGGCCTCACCCCCAAAGAGAGCAGATTCAGGCTCTGTTCTGCCCTGTAATCCAATAGTCTCTCCTGGCCTTAGCAGCAAACTCAAAACCTGCCTCCAGGCAAAGACACTTCGTCTTGAAATAAGGGAAGTTAAATGTGTCTTAATGGGAACTTTGACACGCTTTGCTTTGATTTTACTAAAGTTACAAAAGTAGCTGTTAGAAAATATTTCAAATCCCCCCTCACCCCCCCATCTCCTGTGAGGGACTCACTCCTCATCCGTGTCAGTGCACTGCCTGGCCAGAGCTTTCCAAAAGGAATCAATGATTGCAGAAATTAAAAGCCTTGGTGCCAAATCTCACTCAGCACCCCCTCCCTGAGGGCACAATCTGACTATTTAATTACAGCTTCATCAGGAAACTGGCATCCCACAATCTGCAACAACAGTCGTAGTTTGACAGGCGAAGAAACACACCTGCCTTGGCTCTGGACAGACAGCTGACGAGCTGGCACTGGGGTGCCAGTATCATGATCTCACAGTACACTGACCAGTCCAGGAGCCCACGGGATAGGGAGAGAAGGATGGGGGTGGAGGGTGTCAAGTGAAAAGTTTGACTACACCATTCCTGAACATCTTGTAAACCTTAAAGGGGCGGCTAACCCAGTGGAGAAACTCTTGGGTTCTGCTACCCCAGAATCACGAGTCTGTCACCGGGCTGCGCACAGAAGGTAACTGAAGACAGTGGAAGCTGGAGGAGGGGCAGTGGGCAGCCCAGATCCTGTCTAGACAGAGGGTCCATATCTCCCCTATGAGATGGCCCTGCAAACCTTCAGTGAAAGAAGGTTTCTGAGGCATGGGGAACACCAGAGAGGGAAATGAAGCCACTTTCCACAACAGAGATGGGCAGAAGAGGCCTGGCACAGTTAGTTCACTGTGTCTAGGGTGGGGATCATGTCCACAAACTGTGCAGTGTGGGTATGTGCCACTGCCCTCCGCAAGATAGGGTTAGACCCATTCAGCTGTGCACATTGGGCTTATACAGCTAGCAGCTAATGGAGAGTCTCCTCTAGTTCAAGTAGCAGGAGGTTTGTCCTTTTGGAGCAGGAGGATCTGAATTCTCACCCTGCTGGGGCTGTGAAGATCCCAGGAGGCCACAGATTTGTTGCATTAACTTTGTCACTTTCTTACCTGTTCAACACAGGAATGGCATTTCAGCCTCAGAGATGTTCCATGAACATGATGACCTTTGAGTCCTAAAGCAGCATTGCTGATATCATGCAACATCATGCAGTCTGGAGCAAGGAAGCAGCAGACATTGCCGGACAGATCACAAAGACTGCCTGATACCAGAAATATACATATAGAGAGGCCTGGCCCTATACAGACAACACCTGGGAATATATGCGTTATGCGGATGATGCAAGATGGCAGGATGTTTGCTGCCCTATAATATGCTGATTGCTAGCCATATAGGACTCCTCCCTCTGAACCACTATTCTTAGCCCAACACATCAGCACAGAGTTAGGAGAATTGTACTGAAGCCAGGACTGTCATCGGGTTAAGATGAGTTACAAAACCAAGGCCCACGTAAGGTGATCTGGATTCCATGGCATTTTTTGTAAGAGAAAGGATCTTAGCCCCAGTGTCTTGGCCAATCTCCACTTTGGATTATTGTCCTCCCTGTCTAACTAACTTCTGCCTTGTAACTTCAAGTGGACACGGGATTTGTCATCATTTCCTGTCCTCACGGTTGTATCCTGTTGCTGTCACACAGAGTGGCTGCCTTTCGGAGGTGGGTGAAATGACCCCTCTGTATTGTACAAGCCGTGAAGCACTATGGAATGAATGGGGCTACAGAAATATAATACTTCCATGCCCTGCCCTGGCTATTTTTGTTCTCTTCCTCATTTGGGGTTTCTGATCAAACACTTAAAACCCTGTATCTTGCTCCTATCTTTGGGCCATGGCAGGCCCCAGTGTCTTTGTCCGGGCATATACATGTACCTGTGATTACAGGACTAGCATCTGAATTCTGGCCTGACTCTCCTTCCAAGGTCGTATACTCTTTGGGGTTTTCCATTATTATTTCCAACTCTGGTTTCTGTGATGGAATCTCTCATCTCCCCCGA